AATAGCTACTAAATGTTATAATCCTTAGGAGTAAGATAATAAACACCTATGCACTGCCATGAGAATTTTGGAGTTTTGATCATAAGCAAAGAAGCCTTCTTGAGAGGAATATAATGTAACCCATTAAAAAAGGAGTAACCCATAAAATAAACACATTTATGGCTCTTATGTGGAAAAAAAAGAAAAAGAAAGTAATAATAATGAGTATTCCACTGTAACAGTTATAACACAAATTATGTATCAGGCTTTTACAGCAAACCTGCTGAAAGAGACAGGGCTAAAACTAGAGCCAGTTCTCCCTCCAGGTACTTCTTTCAGTGGATGTTATGTTTCTTATTGCAGTAGGAATTTGAGGTTAGAAATGCCACAAGAGTGACCCCCATGGTTACATTTTTTTCATGTTTATTTCCAAGTTGTGCTTTGAAAAAGTTGCGAGCAAGATTCCTGAGACCTCTAGGATTCCTGAACTTTTTTGACAAAAATCTTTAAATTTGCTGTTGCAGGTTTCACTTACAAAATGGTGTTTCCCCATGTGTGTGCAGCCCTGAGAAATGAAGTGTGACACTTCAGTTCCTTCATTACTTCTAGAGGTTCATATACATAATGATTGGTGTATATTCATGCATTCACAAGGAAGAGTAAAGAAACAGTGATGTTATTTTGATACACCACATTTTCTCTTCTAAACTGACACTGAGTCAACACCCTGACTTTGTACCCGGAGAACATCATTGAGCTACAACTTCCTGTTTCTCAGTGAAGTAACAGCACAACACAAAGTTTAGCTACTGGTAATTAGAAGAGACCTGTTGGAGCTGCCCAGGGAAAAGTTTATTAACCTCTGTTCTCTAGACACGTTGGAAATGGAGAAATTGCATTCTGACTACCAGATTCATCTGAAAATCATATTCCACCTAAAATTGGTAGAAAATAAGAATGTGTCTATAATACAATAACTTTAGATTTAAAATTCTATAATAAGTACTGTTCATGTCTAAAAGAGACATATAGTATCAACCGACAGAAGTTGGTATATAGAAAATGACTTCTCAAAAGTAGAAGATATTTTTGCTTGCTTCCTGCTGCAAGTCTTAAGCATTGTCACTTTACAGTATTCAGCAGCATCAGGATGTCTACCAAGAAGTTTTTTCTGATTTGTAGAGTGCACACAACTACTTCAATTGATTATGAATCTTAATATTTGATTTGTTGAGGTCCTGACTGAAAATCTTTCTGGCATTTCCAATTGGGTTTCTAGAAGGCTTTAGAGAAGGCCTTTCTATAGCAGTATAAGTAGCTGCAGTGTTTCCTGACTTATTTGTTAATGAAGAATAAAACTTATATCCTACATTTCTCAATAGATTATTATAATTTTGAAATCCAAGTTCATCCTCATTTCTGTTCAACAATGCATGTATTAATTCCCAATTAATGAAAGCTCCAGTGAACCTGGAAATGGTAAATCAGCAAAAGGGGATGAAAAGTAGCTAAGAATATGTCAGGCTATCAGTGAGTGGCTAGAAATATTAAGAGCAGTAAGAAACGATAATTTAACTAGAACAAAAATGCACTAAATCTTAATAAAGTTAAAACTGTCAATAGTATACAAAAAATTGTTGAAATATTCAAAACAATATATATTTTTAAAAAGAAGCAGGATAATGTTTTCCAGCTGTAGTGCAAAATACATTTTCCTGTATATGTATCTAGGAAGGATATAAAAATCAAATATATTACTAATAATGAACTACAATAGTCACATTGCAATGTTAAACCCTCAGAATTTAGTTTATCACACGGTAGAGATTTCCTCTGGAGTTTCATTACTGCCTATCATCATCTTGAAGAGTGTCAAACAGATCTAACTGCTGCTATTTTTAGCCACCTTGGTTAGTATGTTCTTTTTCTCTTAATTCCATTGACATTTACTTGAATATTTATGGAGTAAGTTACTCTCTGGTGTGCAGAGGGATTCCAGGATCTACCCAAAAGACAGTTGGGCATGAGCTATCAGAAGTGTTCTGTTTTTCTGGTCCAATTCTTGCTCCTGAGCCAAGGAGCATGCACATCTGACTCACTGACAGGCCCAGCCTGAAATTCAAAAATGCAATGAAAATCTGTATTGCTCTCATCACTCTTTCTATTTTAATGTCCTAATACAACCTCATGAAGTTCAACAAGACCAAGTGCAAGGTCCTGCACTCCAATTGGTGTAATCCCAAAATTAATATAGATTGGGGTATGAAAGGGTTAAGAGTAGCCCTGCAGAGAAAGACTTGTGGATATTGGTAGACGTGAGCTGGCAATGTGCACTTGCAGCCCAGAAAGCCAACTATATTCTGGACTGCATAAAAAGATACATGGCTGGCAGGTTAAGGGAGGTGATTTTCCCCCTGTACTCTGGGACCCCACTTGGAATGATGTTTCCAGCTTGGGTCCGAAGTACAAGAAAGACATGGACCTGGTAGAGTAGGTCCAGAGGAGAGCCACAGCACTGATCAGCAGGATGGAGCACCTCTCTTATGAGGGAATGCTTAGGGTTGGGATTGTTAAACCCGGAGAAGAGAAGACTACAGGAAGAACTTATTGTGGCCTTCCAATATATAAAGTAGGTTTATAAGAAGAGCGAAGAGGCAGACCCCAAAAAGCAGTTGTGGAGAAAATTTGAAAAATTGTCAAATCTAATTTTAAAGGAGGGCTGAGCCAAAGTTAAAGTTGGATAGATACTCAGCATGGAAATTTCAGCTTATATGCTTAGTTGGGAAAAATCTTAGTAATGACTGAAAACAGGGCCACAGAATAATAAACCATTAGACAGCCTTATCTGTTGTCTTCACACCCAGTTTCAGCTACCAGGTTGGTCTCAACAGTCCTAACCATTCCCCTGGTTTCCAGTATTACTGTCAGAGGAACTTCATAGGGACAAGCACTTTAAAGTCATGAGGAAGCTTAGGTCCAATTTTTCTGGCAGTACACAGATACGTACAATGAAACTTCAATCATGCTACTCATTCAGTGCATACAATTTAGCCGTTAAATTAGTTTACAGAGCTATGGAAATTTCCAAATGGGAATAAGCTAAGAAAATAAGTTGTTTCGTATGAACATTTCAGGAACATGATAGGGTCCCAGATCTGTACTTGCTTACAGTGGTGTAATACAACTATCCCTAGTGGAAAAGTTATTCTGAAATTAAATTATTCAACATTTGTATTTATTTTTTTGTATTTCACATCATAGATTCAGCTCTTTTTGTAGTAACTGCTTTATTTCTATTCAGACTGGTTATATTTGTCCACAACTTTTAAGAATGACAATGGATTTCTAGTATTCTCCTTCTGATTTAGGGATATGTTTAGCATCTATTTCTTAGCCATCCAGAGTGTCTTTTTAACTTCTGATACTTTTCTCACTATGTCTGTGTATTTAGTTCCCTAGTTCTACATTTTTCACCAGCCACTACAATATACTTGCCCATCCACCTGTCTTTGGAAAGACAACCTCCTAAACTGCAGGGAGTTGGCAACTCTACTTCTTGGGGACAGAGATCCTGAGATATGGCATGTATAAAACAGGAGGCAGGCAGCAGTATTGATTGCTCCTATATGTTTTTCCTATACACAAGTACTATGAGGAGCTTCCAAAAGTGATGAGGGAGTGCTAACAGCTGTCTCAGCTCTCAGCTCTTGAGAAACCCTCAGCTTCTTATATATATCCTCCTGCACAGTCAGCAGGAAAAGGATAAGGTGCCAAACTTGGCAATGGACTTGTAGCAGGTCCTATAGGTTTGATGATGGGAAATATTTGCTCATATTGCTCTGGGTACATTTACCTGTAATGCTTAGTTTTTGAGATACTATTTCCAGTTCTGGAAACTAATCTGAGAAGAGCTCTATCTACTAATATAAGTAGAATCCCTGCAGAAAGAAGAAGAAGCTGTATTTATTCCCTGAACAACTCCATCCTCAGTGCAAGCTTTCTTTTCACGCAAGTCTTTGCTGAAGCCTTTACTGGCATTCCTATAGCATTGTGGGCAGGGTGAAAGCCAGATTAGTTGCACAGCTAAACTGGAATGAATCTGTGAGGACTGAGTCTTCTTGGGCATGTGTTAATGGACTGTGTGCAGAACATGTTGCAACTGTGTGGGCAAGCAGAGTGCAAAACAATGCTGATAATAAAGCTGCAGAACTTGAGGGCTTCAGTATTTCTCAGGCTGCCTTTAACCAGATCCAGTGGGCTTCTGTAATTTCTTTTGCTTTCACTTGCTCCTGAGGGACAGCTTTCTTCAAAGGAAATAAAGGATAAGAGAGAGATAAGACCTGTCTGAAAAGACCAGAGGGATCATACTGCTGAACTTGATGCCTGAAGGTAGGAAATTCAGTCAGGTAGCCTGCGTAGTAGAGAGAGGTCACGATTCTTATTTGAAAATAACAGTGACAGCTACAGCAAAAAGTATGTAGCAGTAGCATCTATTTATTTGAAAATTATCCCTATACCAGGAAAAGCTACCTGCTAATGAGAAGTTATAGAGTCTTCACTGGATTTTATGATGTTTTCCTTTTTCTAATTCTCTTCCTGATATAATTTTCAAGCAGAGCAAATAATAATTATGAATTATAATCATGTGGTGCTATTCTTACTCAAAAGCAAAATCAGCCAGGATGGTGTCAAAGCTGTAAGCAGTTTCTCATTTAGGAAAACAGGGTTTTCTGTGTTACAGCTATGGGAAAATGTTGTCATCTCTCAGCTGATGGCATACACTGTTCTAGATGTAATGATGTTCTTCGGTTATAATGTTGATGAACCACTATGCAATCACATGTCAGGTTTTGACTACACCTGTTTGCAAACTCAGGTAATTATGCCCCGTTGTCTAATTGCTTATTTTATGGATGTTTTGCTCACACATTTTAAGCAATGATATTTGATTGCAGATAAGTAATGATAGGGTTTTCTTCTCATTATCATACTTGAACATTCGATTTGTCTGATTACTGCAGGTGGAAACAATAGGTGATGCGTACTGTGTTGCAGCAGGGCTCCATAAGAAAAGCCTTAGTCATGCTAAAGCCATTGCCCTCATGGCACTGAAGATGATGGAGCTTTCAGAAGAGGTTCTTACTCCGGATGGGAGCCCTATTAAGGTAACAGCTTTGATCTTTATTCTTAGATAGTCAGAGATACATAGACCTGATTAATTCTGTCATGTTCTGTCAGCTGAAATTTGTTTACTGCTAGGAGAATTTAAAATTGCATCAATATATCACAGTCTTTTTTTAGGGACATATATTTCACTGGTGCCCATCAACAATCATGTAAGATATGCCTTACTTTAGTAAGCACAGTGGACCACACAGACTAGCTGTCACCTTGTCAAATGTGTTGAATGCCTGTTTGTGGCTGGAGGGTATTAAATGCATTCCTGAAGCTCTGCCTCCAATTCAGTTTAGTGGGAGAAGAAAATTCACATGATCCATGACTGTCTCATGCTACAAGCTAAAATACAGTATGCAATGACAATAGGGAAATTCAGTTTGGAAGTAGCCTCCTGATCTGAACTTCAGTACTAGGGTAGGGGCACTCAGAGTTTTGTGGCTCTAAGGGACCACATGCCTTTTTTTCTGAATAGTTATTGACCTGTATAAAAGAACAATGTGTAGACCGGGTGCTTTTTCTCAGTTGTAATGTGCTTCCTTCCCACGCTACTCCAGTTCCTTCTCCTAATCTGGTATAGGAGATAGCAGGAAGTGGAAAACAACATATCCGTTTGTACCATTTTAAAGTTACACTGGTGTTCTGCTTTTCTTAATTTTATATCAACTTTGCAGCCTCTAGTATTTGAAATCGGTAATGTTTAGGTCGGAGATGGAGATTCAGCACAGAAGAAAAACCATGGAGATATATACGTGCCTTTCTTTTTCAAGGGTTAGATTACACATTGTTTTCATTAAGTGTACTCACTCCTATTTGTGGTTAAATTGTTTTTCCCTTTTGTTTTCAAAGAAAATGTGGGTATTATGTAGAACAATTATTCAACACTGTCTAAAGCCTATAACAAAAGCCATATGAGAATAGATGAAAAGGCTGGACAGATTTCTCATGGGATGATTTACACCGTAGTTCAAAATGCACTTTGTAAACTGATATTCCTCATGTCTGTTAAAAAATGAGGATGCTGCTGATTTTTTCTTTTTTTTTTTCTTTTTCTCCAATTACTGAAAGACTGTTTTGAAGGTTTAAAATGACAGAAATAAGGTAAATTTTTAAAATATGTGTTCAGGGATGTTGCTATGATGCTCCTTGAGCAATCAAGTTCTTCATTCCAACTCTTCTCTTTCTATTAGTTAAGTCGTATCTTAAACTATATTCCTTGAACTCTTTATGTATAGTGAATTAAGAAATATGTAATCCAAATGAATTGTTCTGCCCATAAGGGAAATGTGGATGCAAGGCAACCAAGCTAGAAATACCATGAAATATAGTATGGAAGCACAATATTCAAATGCAAATATATTTTCTGAATGAAATATTTTTATTTTATACATCAATGCTGCTGCTGATATTTTTTTTTTAATATCAACATAAAATACCTACTTGATTATTGAAAAATGTCCACACATTCAAAAGAATATCATACTGAAAAATGTCTGGGACTAAGGATCTTGAAGAAACTTTATTTAAAGCTTCATGTGGACATTCATCAAACACAGAATAAGCATTAAAAGACAATGTCTGAAGTTGCAGAGGGCATAGTGTTTTCAAGCTGGTATTAATTTAATCCTATTAAAATAGATTTTCTAGATTGCTTGATGATTTCTCTGTTTTTTCAGTGTCTATAGCTGGCTAATACCTTTAAGCTACACTGTCACATTCTGGGAGAGCTGTCTTCCAGATCTTCTCCATCTTTTCACTTTCTTTTGAGTGATTGCTGCAAATATAGGGAAATTTTGAAGGTGTATGGTTTACTCTGATAGTCACAGTTTATGACTGTTTTCATTACTACCTGTAACCTTTTCAGAAAATTTCTCCTGATTTCAGTGGCTGCGTAAGAAACCCTATAAGAAAAGACTATAAGGACAGTGCAAAGGAAAAATGCTTGCAGAGTATAAAATGCTAGGAATAATCAAATATTTTCAGAAGTACTAATAAACTCCTTTTAGAATTCAGAAGAGAAAAGTTGGTTCATCATACTTAAGCTGAAAGTAGAAGTACTGAGAAGCTCCTCAGTGGGTGTTAGGTGTTCTGTCTTCAGTTTTAGGTGCAATAGATTTCAGGACAAGGGATGGTGATATCATAGACTGTAGTTGTTACTTTTGTACCTAGACTGGCAAATTGTGTTTAAAAGCTTGTCTTTCACAGCAGCATCTTGATTTGATTTAAAATCTATTAAGTCTAGTATTCCTCTCTCATGTATGTCTGCCCAGTAAAACAATTGAAATAAGGACTTCTGGAGAAGTCTGCTTCAATTTGTCCTAGTTTAGGATGAGATGAATCACGCTCTAAAAATGTGTTTTCTCAGTTGTCTGTAAGGCAAGTTTATGGACTTAGCCTAAATGTGGATGTCTACAGCGTAAGCTTCTACACTTTGTCAGATGAGTCCTCCTACAAATGGCAAAGAATGCATAGCTTTTCTTAGTGGTTATGTCAATGATCGTCACAGTTCAAAACATAGAATCACAGAATCAGTCATAGAATAGTTAGGGTTGGAAAGGACCTTAAGATCATCTAGTTCCAACTCCCCTGCCGTGGGCAGGGACACCTTACGCTAAATCATATGTATTATTTCTAAATTGAGGTGGCATGACTTTACCTCAGATGTCAGTGATCCCTATTTTTGTTAGCTGCCAGTTTTTCGCTTAAAAAAACGTGAAGATGCCCATTGTGCCATAGATTCCCATTAAGAAATGTTCGGTGTGTATAAGAATGTTGCAAAGCTGTGTCAGTTCAGATTGGTGTTCACGTGTTTGGGCAATGCTCTTAAATACATGATTTAACTTTTGGGTTGCCTTATATGAAGTCAGGAGTTGGACTTGGTTCTGTAAACTACCTGAAGTTTAAGAAGCCCCTATATATGTGTAACAGTTACTATGGACTCAGCTCATAACCAATAGTAGAAAACTTACTGTGCAAAACATTTTGCAATTAAACCTTTCCATTAAAATATTTAAATATTCATTAGCATTAGATGCAAAATACACAATGTAGACTATAAGACATTATAAGTGGCCTGACTTCTAAATAGTCAATGAAATTGTACTATAATGTGGTTACTTTGGGCTGGTCCTGTTGGTATGGATGACAAGCACAGTGTTTTGACTATGTTTTGACCTTAATTCTTATCTGTGATTCATGTTAAACAAGCACAAGTCATATTTCCTGAGTCCTTGCTGAATGGGTTGAATATAGAATGCTGACACAGTTTTTGTTTTATTGTATTGAAAGACCTACATCAGTATTTGAGTATTTGAAAAGAAGTTGAAACCAGAGGGCAGTTTTCCTCATGCCCAAGATTTGGTATCTTTGACAGCATTCATGAGCTGCTGTGACTAAATTCTGGCTTTATTCTTCAGGATAGTTTAGTAGCTATTTTGAAAAGTAAGACAATTACTTCAGTAAATCTGAGGCAACTTTTCAAAACATAATTCCTGAAAATACGGGACTTTCTGATCTCAGGGCTGAAAAGGTGGGCTCTGTTTTCTACTCATTCTCTCCCAGACTGGCTGATAAGCCCTGATTAAATACAAAATATTATTATCAGACATTTTATATAATACATGACACCACAGTTATTTGAAGTTTGATTTCTGTTATTAGGCTGATAGCTACAGCACAGTTATTCTGTTTCTGATTGTATTTTCTAGTATGAAGCAAAAATGCTAAACTCTCCTTAGTGTTTGCAGGTGATTTCTTTTCCAGAGACATATCTCTTGTTTAAGCTCTCTGAGATCAGCACTGGAAACCACGAGTTCAGTTTTATTCCCTAGGTTTTTGAGGTGTGACTGATACTATGCATATTTAAGAGGCTCATTACTTAGGGGGGAACATTTTTTTAGACAATGTCATAATGAATCTGGGTTTTCCTGGTTGCAGACTTCAGCTCTAGGGAAACCTAACTGCAAATAGGAAATTTAGTGTTTTATATTTGACGATTGTTCACTTAGATGTATCTGGCTTTATGATTATGGTTTATGGAATTTAACCATGCCAAGTGCAAGGTCCTACACCTGGGTGGGAGCAACCCCAGGCACAGCTACAGGTTGGGCAGAGAAGAGATTCAGAGCAGCCCTGCAGAGAATGACTTGGGGGTGTTGGTTGATGAGTAAATGAACATGAGCCGGCTGCAGTGTGCACTTGCAGCCCTGAAAGCCAACCGTATCCTGGGCTGCATCAAAAGGAGCGTGACCAGCAGGTCAAAGGAGGTGATCCTGCCCTTTACTCTGCTCTTGTGAGACCTCACTTGGAGTATTGTGTGCAGTTCTGGTGTCCTCAACATAAAAAGGACATGGAACTGTTGGAACAAGTCCAGAGAAGGGCCACGAGGATGATCAGGGGACTGGAGCACCTCCCGTATGAAGACAGGCTGAGAAAGTTGGGGCTGTTCAGGCTGGAGAAGAGAAGGCTGAGTGGAGACCTCATAGCAGCCTCCCTGTATCTGAAGGGGGCCTATAGGGATGCTGGGGAGGGACTCTTCATGAGGGACTGCAGTGACAGGACAAGGGGTAACGGGTTAAAACTTAAACAGGGGAAGTTTAGATTGGATATAAGAAGGAATTGTTTCCTGTTAGGGTGGTGAGGCACTGGAATGGGTTGCCCAGGGAGGTTGTGAATGCTCCATCCCTGGCAGTGTTCAAGGCCAGGTTGGACGAGGCCTTGGGTGATACGATTTAGTGTGAAGTGTCCCTGCCCATGGCAGGGGGGTTGGAACTTGATGATCTTAAGGTCCTTTCCAACCCTAACTATTCTATGATTCTATGATTCTATGTGTTTTCTAAATTACTTCAGATTTAGGATAGGATTTAGGGTATATTTAATTCTTATCTCAGGACTAAATTCACCAGGATGCACTTATTTACTTTTTGTAGTTATTGATGTGTTCATCCCTGTGATAGCAGTGTTATGTCTTATTAAATGACACTTAGTGACT